TCAAATAAAAATGGTATTTGTCTTTTCCACACAATATGGATATGATGCACAGCATTTACATCAGGTTTGTCAAATAATATGTTTTTTATATTAATTATTTAAAAGATCTACGATGAGGTTTTTCACGATATAACGCAGCACTATAAATTTATACAATAATATAACTTTAAAGAAAAAAGGCATAATACATTAATAATCATAATATTCTTATTATTAAAATTAATTTTATCTGACTCGCAAGTAATAAAGCTAATCAAATTATCGACGCAATTCAGCAAGCATTTGTTGTTTTACAACAACAACAAAGTATCAATCATCATCATCACTTCCGTCAAAATAGTAGTTGTCACATATTAATTTAACATTAACCTGAATAAACAAGGTAGAAATCTAAAAATAATACAAAATTCAAAATTAGAATTCTTTTTAGCCCCCAAACAACGAAATCAAATGTTTATCTTCGCCTCTTATGCGGGACATTGTGTTATGGCTTGCCAACAGCGCTTAACGGTCATAATTAGTTAATTAAAAAAAATTTTTTTTTAATCAAAAAAATAAAATTTTTATGCCTAATGCTTATCTGGTCCAAGACAATTAATTTCATTCAAAGGTATTATTAAATTCTTGCTCTAAAAAAAGCAGTCCAATGAAGCTTAAACAACTATCCTCAATGCCAATTAATTGTTTTCTCTGCAAAAGTGGATTCAATAACACTTGGCTACTACATACAGTCAGTCAACTCTTGTTTTAACGAATTTTGGTCTTGTGACAATGATCGACAAGTCTATTTAAATTTTTTAAATTTTTTAAATTATTAAACATGTGATTAACATACGATAAATCACGTAATTATGATTTTAACCTAAAACGTATGTTAATATATAACTTGTGATTTTTAATGATGATGTAATTAAACTCTTGTCATTTAAATGGCTTTGATGTGATCATTTTAAAAAGGTACTAAAATATTAAAAAATATTTTACAAATCTTATTACAAACATGTCACCCCCTAAAAAATTTCAACACATAAAAAGAACGCAACAACAATGACAAACATATTAGTTTGGAAGAAATTGAGAGCTAAAAGAGATAGCTATCAGGCAAATAAGGAACTCGTGATATCCCAATTTCTTTATATCGATTCTCTTTTCATCTTTAGTTTAGTTGTATGCTATTTTTTGGTATGTTTATATGCTGAAGAAATGCATCAAGCCGACGCATAAATCTCTTGGCTATTTTGCTAGAGATTTTGACTTGCATGATTCCGTTTATTGAGATTACTAGACTTATTTAATTCGAACTACATGATGCTATTATAAGACAAGATGAACAATCCTGGCCCCAAAGATGATTATGACAGCCAATATAATCTTTTATAGAATTTTCGACGTGAGTCTTTCTTTTGCCATTGATGCTTCAAGAGCCAATATTTTTAAATATATTGGATATAGTCATATTATAAATGAGGGTTTGAAGCAACAGTGTTATATTTGAATTACTGTTCACAGTCTACCCTTGTTTCAACGAATACATAGGACGAGTTGAATTCGTTGCGACAAAAAAATCGTTGAAACAAAAATGGCAATGATCGTCAGAAAAAAAAATTATATAATATATTGTAATTTTTGTTTCTATATCACATTGTTGAAGAAAATCTCAAAGGCATTTACTGAATTTTTCATTGAAACCTTGGGTGCGGTCGTGTTACTTTTAATGACAATTTGCTCTCCAATTGGCTTGAAAAAACAATAATTTCTTCAATTATTATTTCGTTATTTATTTCTTCGTTATCAATTCTTTTGCTTATAATGGAGAGTTAAATGATAATTAATTGATTAAATTTTCAAAAACAATTCTTTCTTGATGATATTCTTCAATTACATTATTAAATAATTATCGGACAACAGGCTGTGAATCATAATTTTTAAAATATTTATTATTAATATAAAATAAAATATTTTTTAGGCTTAAGTCTTTGAAATTATAAATTATTCTTGCGTCACATGGTTGCAGGCGTATGGTGAGCGGTAAATGATGAATTTTTATAAAATTGTGTATATGTGCATTGTCAACAAGTAATAATATTTTTCTCTTCATTTTTTTTTTATTTAATCATTCCAGATTGACATTTGCGGTTAATATTTTTTTTTTTTTTGATGCTCTTGGGTTTTAATATTTATGAATAAATAAAGGAATCAATTGATCTGTTCCAGTAGCGTCGCATGTTAACAATATAATTATCTTTTATTTTGTTTTGTACCGCGAGATGGTTCCATTTTCCAGAGAAGACCAGTTTCGTTGCATTATTATTGTGTGGCGAAAAAAACTACAATTCACACTTGCTGTATTATAATAGTCATTTTGGAAATGATTAGATGGATTAATAGTATCAGTAATAATGACAAATAACAATGGTACCGCGTTCAATCAAACAAAATTTTATTCAACAAATAGAATTTTCAATCATCAATAAAGTTGCACGGTGCTACTATACTATTTATAACGCACATGACCAAACGAACCAAAGATTACTATTACACACCCAATTAATTATATTATTATTAAATTTCCTTCTTTTATACAACCATAATAATAATAATACTCATAATGCCAATAATAAATGGTTTGCCAGTTGAAATTTTAAATGAAATTTTTGAAATTTTTGAATGGAAAACCATAAGAACCTTTTTATATATCAACTCGACTTTTTTTAAAGTATGTGCACCATTGTTGTGGAAAAATTTAGGTGAAAATACGTGGGAGGGAATAGACGATGTGGAGAAACGATGGAGTCTCATTTCCAGAACATTGCTAGGCTATTCTTTCTCCTCCGCTGCCGCAGATAATATCACTGCCCACAATAACAACAATAACAATAACAACAACAATAAACAACTTTATATTGATTATAATTCATTTATTTATAGAATTTTTATATCATCATCCAACAACAACGAATTTAGACTACCAAAATCATTATTCTCGTATTTTCTAACCACTTGTAAAAACCTAACTGAAATAGAGTTCCAATATTATCAAGAATCAAATTTGCCAGAACCTTTTTATATATCAACTCGACTTTTTTTAAAGTATGTGCACCATTGTTGTGGAAATGT